TCGCGTGGGGTCGTGTATGCCGCCCGCGTGACCTTGGCAGGCTCGATGTCGTCGACCTGGAGTGTTTTGATGTGGCGCTTCGCCTTCGCTGGCTTTGGGCGGAAAGGACCTCGGTCGTTCCCTGGCATGGGCTACCGGTCCCGGTGACACTCGCGGAGCGGCGCATGTTCGCGGCAGCCTGGGCGGTCACCATCGGGGATGGCAACCGAGCCAGTTTCTGGTATGATGGCTGGCTACCTGAGGGGGCGCCGCTCATGATCACCCTCGACCTATTCGTGGTTTCCAGACGCAAGGTGCGCTCCGTGCGTCAAGCACTGTCAGGTGACAGATGGATCCAAGACCTCCGCGGCCGGGTCACCACCGACTTGTTGCCTTCCTTCGTGAGGCTATGGGTGTGTGTCAACTCCAGGCAGCCGCTCACCCCGGACACCGTGAACTCCTTTTGGTGGAGATTAACGGACAATGGCGTCTACACGGCAGCTTCCGCGTACAAGCTATTCTTCATCGGATCCACTATTTTCCCATTGAGTCAGGAGATCTGGAAAGCCTAGGCCCCGGCCAAGTGCCGCACCTTTGCCTGGCTGCTCGCCCAGCGGCGCATTCTCACGGCCGACCGCCTGCTCGCCCGGCAACGGCCCAACTCCTACTTCTGCCCGTTATGCATGAGGAACCTGGAGACAGCGGCTCACCTCACGAAGGAATGCCCTTGGGCGCGGCGGCTATGGGCAATGGTGGCGCTTTGTTTCGCAATCCTGGAGCTAAACCCTGGCGCATGGACGCTGGGCTCGCCCTGGGTGGACTGGATCAGCAACATGAGCCGTGTGACTTCCACTCGGAAACTGGCCAATCGGTGCTCTCCTTGTTTTTTGGTGGATTTGGAAGGAACGTAACGCACGCATCTTCGACGGCGGCACGGAACGCTCGCCGCGGCAAGTCTTGCACCTCCTGCTATCGGAGGCAAGCGACTGGGCGCTGGCAGGAGGTCGGCATCTAGCTCTGCGAGAGTAGCCCAGGCCGTTCTCTTATTTTCTTTTTCTCTTTTCTTTTCAGTTTCTTGTTCCGCAAGCTAATGCGTTAGCCTGCACCTTGTACTCGGCTTTCTCTCGCGTCCCCTCCTAATCAATGAAATACACTCCTGCGTTTATTTCAAAAAAAAAAAATGCGTACTATTGTTAATATCGCAGTATGTATCTCGATATCAGTATGAGAACAGGACATAAATGTTAATTTTGTACATGTTGCTTGTTGAGGCATGGCTGGGGATCAAAAACATTAGCATTGATCCGAAGGAAAATAACCATATGAGCTTGGAGCGCTCCGTAGTGTTTTTAAAAAAGAGAGTAAAAAATATGGGTGAGATGTGCTTCTCAAAAACTGAATCTATCTTGTGCACGGAGTGTGTGCTATGGTGTCGTTAAACTTTAATTGCCACAGCACTGTTGATGTTTGGTATCCAACGGCGCAGCGAAGTTTGCTTCTAGTAGTACAATACAAGCAGGCTAAGCAGCAGCCGAGCTGCGCTTGATACACACATGCATGCCGTTGCATCCGCATCCGCGCTGCCCCACCACACCGCCCCGTGCGTGTCGATCCGAACTACAAATGCCTTCCTCTTCGTGTAGCTCCACTCCATTCTCCTCCTCTAGTCTCTGATGGAATGATGGAGTTCCTCTTCTCCCTCCTCTAGCTTCTTTCTCCGCCTCCCCTGCATCACTCCAGCGGAGTCCTCGAGAGTCGAGATGGCACCACCTCCCACGCCCCTCCTCCTCCTCCTCCTCCTCCTCCTCCTCTGCTCCCTCACCATCACGCCGGTGGCCGCCGGCGAGCGCGCGCGCACGGTGTACATCGTCCACATGGACAAGTCCGCCGTGCCGCCGCACTTCGCCGAGGACGCGCACGCGTGGCACTCGGCCATCCTGGAGTCGGTGGCGGACGCGTCGCCGCGCGGCCGAGGACGCCCGGAGCACGTGTACTCCTACGCGAACGCGCTCAACGGCTTCGCCGCCACGCTCTCCGCTGCCGAGCTACGCGCGCTCCGCCACACGCCAGGGTTCGTCTCGGCGTACCCGGACCGCCGCGCGGACGTCGCCCACGACACGACGCACTCCCAGAGGTTCCTCGGCCTCCGCCCCGACGCCGGGCTGTGGCCGGCGGCGAACCTTGGCGAGGGCGTCATCATTGGCGTGCTGGACACCGGCGTTTGGCCCGAGAGCAACAGCTTCCACGACGACGGGATGCCGGCCGTGCCCTCCCGGTGGCGCGGGGCGTGCGTGCCGGGCGTCTCCTTCCCCGCCACCACGTGCAATAGGAAGCTCATCGGAGCACGCTACTTCAACCGCGGATACGTGGCCATGTACCCCAACGCCACCGTATCAATGAACTCGACGCGCGACGACGACGGCCACGGCACGCACACAGCGTCCACCGCCGCGGGCAGCCCTGTGCCGTGCGCGTCCTTCTTCGGCTACGGGCGCGGCACGGCGCGTGGAACAGCTCCACGTGCCCATATCGCGGCGTACAAGGTCAGCTGGCCCAGCGACACGGTGATGTCCGACGTCCTGGCGGCCATGGACGCGGCGATCACGGACGGCGTCGATGTCGTGTCCATCTCCCTCGGCTTCAACAACCAGCCGCTCTACACGGATCCAGTTGCAATTGCCTCGTTCGCTGCCATGGAGCGCGGCATCTTCGTGTCTGCGTCAGCGGGGAACGATGGCGCCCATGGGTTGGCCACGCTGCACAATGGCATCCCATGGGTGCTCACGGTGGCGGCCGGCACGGTGGACCGGCAAATGTTCGCCGGCACTGTGAGCTACGGAGACACGAAGCAAGGCATCACCACGATCACTGGGGTCACGTCGTATCCAGCAAATGCTTGGGTTTCTCAAGTGAAGCTGGTCTACAACGAGACGCTGTCCGCGTGCACCTCGTCAGCTCTGCTCCAAAGTCTGGAGACAAAGAAGAGCATTATCGTCTGCCGCGACACTGGGCTTGGTGCGATGGACCATCAGATGAAGGTTGTCGCCGCGGCCGGTCTCACGGCCGCTATCTTCGTCCCGCAGACCGAGACGGACGAACCTCTAATGGGTGAGTATTCGCTGCCGGTTATCGCGATTAGCCCAGAGGATGCGCCCGCGCTGCTCAAGTATATCACCTCCAGCTCGCAGCCGACGGCCACGATCAAGTTCCAGCAGACCGTCCTCGGCAGAGCACCGGCGCCGGTGGTCGCCTTTTACTCCTCCCGAGGGCCGTCGCCGAGTTTTGCGGGCGTCCTCAAGCCGGACATATTGGCGCCGGGTGACAGTATACTAGCTTCCTGGCCACCCGTTGCTCCGTTGGCGTACGTAGGGTCGACGGCTTTGGGCGGCGACTTCCAAGTCGCGTCCGGGACTTCAATGGCGTGCCCGCACGCCAGCGGCGTGGCGGCGCTGCTCCGGGCGGCGCACCCGGACTGGAGTCCGGCCATGATTAAGTCTGCAATGGTGACCACGGCGAGCGCGGTCGACAATCTGCACCGTCCCATCGCCGACGCCGGCAACGGCAACGGCATGGCTAGTCCGCTGGCCATGGGCTCGGGGCATGTCAACCCCAACTCTGCTCTGGACCCGGGTCTCGTCTTTGACGCCGGGCCGCGGGACTTCGTCGCGCTCCTGTGCGCCGCGAACTACACCGTCACCCAGATCGCGGCGGTCACGCGGTCGTCCACGGCGTACAGTTGCTCCGTTTCGTCCAGCAACGACGTGAACTACCCGTCGTTCATCGCCACGTTCGGCGCCAACGCGACCTCCGGGAGGATGCGCTTCAGCAGGACGGCGACCAACGTCGGGGCGGGCGCGGCCACGTACCAGGCTCGTGGTCGGCGCCGAGCAACGTGGCCGTGGCCGTGACGCCGTGGACGCTGGAGTTCGGCGGTGCGGGCGAGAAGGCGACATTCGAGGTGGAAATTGTGCTGACCGCGCCCACCGGAGGAGAGCCGGCGCACGGTGCCGTGCTCTGGACGGAGCTGGTCGGCGGCAGTCACCAGGTCAGGCTCCCGTACGTGGTGGTGTGACGGCGCCGTTCGGTGCTGTGAACTTGATCTTATGTCGCTCCGATGATGTAGTTTGACTTGGGCTTAAGGAGTCAGAAATCCTATTAAGTACTCTACCTTATATTTCTCAGTCACAGTGGACTGAGGTTTAACTTATTAGTCAGACTTATCGCTATCTCATCCTACTAGTTGCTTGTGCTTGTCAATTTGAAAAAAGCAGGTGCTTGTGCTTATTAGTTCCTTCGGTTATCTTTTGTGCTCTTCATAATTGTTCTTTCTTTTCCATTGAACCGATTGAGTCGGCGCGACATGTGTTGACCATTGTCTATTGGTGATTTGGTGAGCCCCTAGAGGGCCCGGGTGTAAGCCATAATGCTAGCTAGTGTAGGCCAAACTGAATCCTGCACCGGTGTTTGGCCGTGTTCAGGGCTGACGGAAGTTCAAGTTTTCGAGCATTGTGGCAAGAACGATCGAACTTGATAATTAGTATATCTGAACACATATATGGTTGTAGAAGAGCTCGTTCCAACTCGATTGGTATGGGTACCAGTACTCAAGTGTTGACATGACATGTGAATTTATACTTACACTTCACAAAAAAGTGCAAAAAGGAAAGTAAAAAAAACGATGGTAGCCCTCAGGTTAGACGACGGCAACGCATAGCACCTCGTACTCACAGCAACAAAGAAGAGAGGAACCAGGCTAGGAGGCCCACGTAAATTGCGGCAGTGGACATGCATATCCTGATTTGAGGCATTAAGTAATGGCATTTATGATGTCGATTCTATGCCTGGAAAGATAAGGCGCATGTACTGCCCAAAATCAAGAAATTGATTTTATATCCATAATATCTGAGGTATTGAGGGAGGCGCAATCCATCCTATAAATAGACTCCTAGCTAGACCCATTTCTCCTCGCCCCAGCAACAAGAGTTTCTTTCACCTGCTTGGATCGATTGAGACTGTCTGCCATGGGTGCCAAGGTTGCAGCGACCGCCCTCTTCTTCCTCCTCCTCACCTTTGCTTATGGTGAGCCCTTTCTGATGAGAAAATAGGCAGTTTTTCGATTAAATTAATCCATGAATAAATCATGAGCATGACATGGACAGCATTGATAACATACTGATTATGATCTAACAGAGCATGTACTACGCATATAGTAGAGACATCTACGCATACCGCTAGTACTGCTACAACAGAAAGAAACACGAGAGGGATAAGCGATGTATACCCTCCAATCGGCCACGCGGTGGCGGTGGCGGTGACAGCAGCCGCGGCATCCTCGGCGGCCTTCTTGTCGGCCTCGGCTTTCTCAGCGGCGGCACGGTCGGTGTCGGTCGACATGGTGATGATGAAGGTGATGCGGACGTAGATGAACAGAAGCGAGCAGTCGCGTAGTCGCTACCCAAAAACCTAATCGCCCCTCTCCCCGTACAGGATCCGGAGAGGCGTGGTTTCGGAGGCCTGCTCTCCCGTCAACCGTGTACGCGGTGAACGGGACGGAGTCGCCGGCGGCAGCAGCAGCAGCGGAACGACGTGGGCGTGGAGGCGGAGATGCGTTCTGTTTCGTGACGGCTAGGGTTGGCAGCGCCCCACATATATATGTGCGGCCGCGCGTGGAGAGACGTGGGCTGAACCCACGTCCAAGTCGGTAGCCCACGATCCGACGTCTCAGATCGTGGCCCCACCTGTCAAAGACTCTCCGTTCCTGACCGGCAAAAAGAAGCGCATGGGAGTGAGCTCGGCTCGGCTCAATCCCGCAACCCGCGGCGCGTCGTGACGAGGCGTGGCGTGGCGAGGCGAGCGGAGGAGGAGGAGTGCGCGAGGGCCTCATCTCTTCTCAAGCTCCAATAGCATGAGGGAGAGAGTCCCTTATAAACCACTCCAACTCTCCTTCCACTTCCAAGGTGGGACTAAACTTCCCACACACCTAGTGCCATATAACCCACATGGGCCCTTAGAGATTTTTCAGAAATTGCAATATGGGCCTAGAGCCCATCTCAGATTTCAGCAATCCCCCACCAGATCTCGAGGGCCCATAGTGTCCTCTGTTCCAAATACTGTTTTGATATACTAGTGTTTCAGTGAAGACCTATTAAGGTTGAGCTTCACCTAGAGCAAGTAGCTACATTCCTTCACAACTGAACAATGGACTATGCCTTGAATTGTCAGTTTGGCGTAAAGAAGTTTCACCACATGTCTTACTAGTACTGGGCTGCCGAAGGCTGACCCCTCGGGTGGAGCATATAAGTCACACTCCTGGCCTATTCATGAGTTTACTAGAGATCACCCCAATCTCATAGACTGTGACTAGCAGTCGGGCTCACATAGGTGTATTCCTCCAAAGATCGCTCTGTAGGATAGCATCTTGCTTATACATATAAGCCTTGGAACACATTAAGACAATAGTCATCCTTCCGTACAGTTTCCGAGAGTATTGCATCTCCAACGGAGTGGGTTAGTAAAGTTACTCTCCTCAGTTCACCACTGGCTTGTTTCCCCAGGTCCTACTTCACGGGATCTCCGATCACATAGGTTGGGTTACCACCATGGTAACTCATGTGGGTCTCATACCCATCTCCCTCGATGCACTATCTATCACTACACGTGATAGCCCTTTCGTAAAGGGATCTGCCAGATTCTTAGCCGTATGGACATAGTCCAACGCTATCACTCCGGAGTTTCTTAATTTTCTGATAGCTTTTAATCTCATTCTTATGTGTTTGGTGGACTTCATGTTGTCCTTTGAACTCTTCACCTTGGTGATGACAGTCTGATTGTCACAGTTCATAAGGATAGCCGGAACCGGTTTATCAACCAATGGCAAGTCCATCAAAAGATCTCGAAGCCATCTCGCTTCAACACCAGATGTGTCTAATGCCGTTAATTCTGCTTCCATTGTCGATCTCGTTAAGATCGTTTGCTTGCAAGACTTCCAGGAAACAGCGCCACCTCCAAGAGTAAACATATACCCAGTTGTGGCCTTCATCTCATCAGCATCAGAGATCCAATTCGCATCACTATACCCTTCAAGTACCGACGGGTATCCGGTATAGTGAAGTCCATAGTTCATAGTACCTTTCAGATAGCGCATAACTCTCGCAACAACATGCCAATGTACATCACCCGGTTTGGAAACAAACCGGCTCAGTTTGCTCACAGCAAACGCGATGTCAGGCCTCGTTGCGCTCGCTAGGTACATCAGTGAACCAATGATTTGAGAGTATCTCAATTGATCTTTAGCCATGCCTTTGGACTTTCGAATCAATACGCTAGGATCATATGGTGTTTGAGATGGTGTGCAGTCCGAATATCCAAAACGACTCAACACCTTCTCAACGTAATGGGATTGCAGAAGTGTGATCCCACCCTCATTATCTCTCAGTAGCTTGATGTTCAAGATAACATCAGCCACACCAAGGTCTTTCATCTCAAAGTTCTGAGATAGAAACGATTTGACCTCCTCAATGACTTTGAGGTTTGTTCCGAATATCAGTATGTCATCAACATACAAGCACAGTATAACTCCTTCGCCCCCACCATGGCGATAGTATACACATTTGTCAGCCTCATTAACAACGAAACCAACAGATGTCAAAGTTGTATTAAACTTATCATGCCATTGCTTAGGTGCTTGTTTCAGGCCATATAAAGATTTTATCAACCTACACACCTTTCTTTCCTGACCATCTATCACAAAGCCATCAGGCTGTTGCATGTAGATTTCCTCCTTTAGCTCTCCATTTAGAAAAGCCGTCTTAACATCCATCTGATGGACGAGAAGACCATGTGAGGCCGCCAACGAGAGTAATACTCGAATGGTGGTCAGTCTAGCCACAGGTGAATAAGTATCAAAGAAATCTTCCTCTTCTTGCTGATCATAGCCCTTGGCCACAAGCCTAGCCTTGTACTTTTCAATCGTACCATCGGGCCTAAGCTTCTTTTTGAACACCCACTTACATCCCAGTGGTTTGCAACCATAGGGACGGTCGGTGATCTCCCATGTCCCGTTAGCCATGATGGAATCCATCTCGCTACGGACCGCATCCTTCCAGTAGTCAGCTTCTGGAGAGGCATACGCTTCTGAAATAGAAGTGGGAGTATCATCCACGAGGTACACGAAGAAATCATCACCAAAGGTCTTTGCAGTCCTTTGTCTCTTGCCCCTACCAAGGGTTTCCTCGTCATCCTCCTCGGGATTTTCATCATGTGTTTGTTCATAATATTCCATAGGGATGGCAGGTTCAGGAGTCTCCTCAGATTCCTGTCTAGAAGTGCTTTGCATATCTCTCATAGGAAAAATATCCTCAAAGAATGTAGCATCCTTAGACTCCATAATTGTACCGATCTTCTGGTCAGGTACCTCAGATTTCACTACTAGAAATCTATAGCCAACGCTGTTCTTAGCGTAGCCCAAATTAATGCAGTCCACGGTCTTATGTCCAAGCTTACGCTTTTTGGGGATCGGCACGTTGACTTTCGCCAAACAGCCCCAAGTGCGCAGGTACGAGAGTGTCGTCCTTCTCTTTGCCCATTTCTCATAGGGAGTGATCTCACTCTCCTTTGTCGGAACTTTATTCAGGACATGACATGCCGTCAATATAGCCTCCCCCCACCATGCCTTGGATAAACCCGATGTATCTAACATGGCGTTAACCAAATCAGTTAGAGTACGGTTTTTCCGCTCGGCAACCCCGTTTGACTGGGGTGAATAGGGAGGCGTCCTCTCATGAATAATGCCGTGTTCCGCACAGAAGGAATCAAACTCACTCGAGAAGTACTCTCCACCACGATCTGACCGGACTCGTTTAATTTTCTTTTCAAGTTGATTTTCAACTTCTGCCTTATAGATTTTAAAGTAGTGTAGAGCCTCATCTTTAGTATTTAACAGATACACAAAGCAATATCTAGTGGAATCATCTATCAATGTCATGAAGTATCTCTTTCCACCTTTAGTCAACACACCATTCATCTCGCAAAGATCAGAATGTATGAGTTCTAATGGTGCCAGGTGTCTCTCCTCCGCGGCCTTATGAGGCTTGCGAGGTTGCTTAGCTTGCACACATGAAAGGCACTTAGAACCTTTGGCTAAAGTGAAACTCGGGATTAAATCCAACTTGGCTAGCCGCGTCATAACACCGAAACTTATGTGACAAAGACGTGAGTGCCAAACCTCAGATTCATTAATACTCGAATGAATATGGTTCACGACTTTATTACAGAAATCTGCGAGGGAAAGGCGGAACATCCCTCCGCTCTCATAACCTTTTCCAACAAATAGTCCATACTTAGTAACAACTAATTTATTAGACTCGAATACCAACTTAAACCCTTCTCTACATAGAAGGGAGCCACTAACGAGGTTCTTCTTGATGGAGGGGACATGCTGCACGTTCTTCAGCTGCACGATCCTTCCCGAAGTAAACTTCAGATCGACCGTGCCAACACCATGAACAGAAGCACTCGCGCCATTCCCCATCAATACGGAGCCGTGGCCTGTGACCTGGTAAGAAGAGAACAATGAAATGTCAGCACACACATGAACACCTGCACCTGTGTCTACCCACCAATCGGTAGGCTGAAACACTGAAAAAACAGTAAATAAATTACCGTACCCAGATGCACCATTCTCATTGTTGCCCACAATCATGTTGACAGACTTGGAGTCTTGTCCTGACTTCTTAAACTTGTTTGGGCACTTGTTGGCCCAATGTTCAGTCGAACCACAAGTAAAGCAGCCCTCATCCTTCTTGTTCTTCTTGAAGGTCTTCTTACCCTTCTTCTTAAAGTCGGCAGACTGTTGGACACCGTTCTTTCCCCTGGGCTTGTGGGAATTGGAGTTCTTCTGATGCACCATATTGGCCACAGAAGTTCCTTCGACCCCTTTTCCGTGCGAGTCCTTTGCCCTTGAGTTCTGCTCAACACTCAGATGGCCAATGACATCCTCCACAGAGAATTCACGCCTCTGATGTTTCAGAGTGGTGGCAAAGTTCCTCCAGGAATTGGGGAGCTTAGCGATTATGCAGCCCGCGACAAATTTGCCCGGTAACTCGCACTTAAGAAGCTCAAGCTCCTTAACAATGCATATTATCTCATGAGCCTGCTCCAATACAGGACGGTTTTCAACCATCTTGTAATCGTGGAACTGCTCTATAATATACATCTCGCTCCCTGCATCGGCAGCCCCGAACTTAGATTCGAGCGCCTCCCACAAGTCCTTGGCAGACCGCATATGTAAATATGCATCAACCAGCTTATCTCCAATCACGCTCAGAACTGCCCCGAGGAACACCACGGTGGCCTCCTTAAACGCCTTCTCCTGTTCAGGAGCGATCGTTCCTGTAGGAGTCACACCGGTGACCCAGAACACGTTCATGGCCGTGAGCCATAAGGTGGTTTTAGTCTGCCAACGCTTAAAGTACGTCCCCGTAAACGGGGACGGTTTCAGTGCAGCAGCAAAACCAGAATTCGAAAAACTCCTACAGATATTAGGTTTTTGAATTGTTGAGTAAATAGGCAGTTTTTCGATTAAATTAATCCATGAATAAATCATGAGCATGACATGGACAGCATTGATAACATACTGATTATGATCTAACAGAGCATGTACTACGCATATAGTAGAGACATCTACGCATACCGCTAGTACTGCTACAACAGAAAGAAACACGAGAGGGATAAGCGATGTATACCCTCCAATCGGCCACGCGGTGGCGGTGGCGGTGACAGCAGCCGCGGCATCCTCGGCGGCCTTCTTGTCGGCCTCGGCTTTCTCAGCGGCGGCACGGTCGGTGTCGGTCGACATGGTGATGATGAAGGTGATGCGGACGTAGATGAACAGAAGCGAGCAGTCGCGTAGTCGCTACCCAAAAACCTAATCGCCCCTCTCCCCGTACAGGATCCGGAGAGGCGTGGTTTCGGAGGCCTGCTCTCCCGTCAACCGTGTACGCGGTGAACGGGACGGAGTCGCCGGCGGCAGCAGCAGCAGCGGAACGACGTGGGCGTGGAGGCGGAGATGCGTTCTGTTTCGTGACGGCTAGGGTTGGCAGCGCCCCACATATATATGTGCGGCCGCGTGTGGAGAGACGTGGGCTGAACCCACGTCCAAGTCGGTAGCCCACGATCCGACGTCTCAGATCGTGGCCCCACCTGTCAAAGACTCTCCGTTCCTGACCGGCAAAAAGAAGCGCATGGGAGTGAGCTCGGCTCGGCTCAATCCCGCAACCCGCGGCGCGTCGTGACGAGGCGTGGCGTGGCGAGGCGAGCGGAGGAGGAGGAGTGCGCGAGGGCCTCATCTCTTCTCAAGCTCCAATAGCATGAGGGAGAGAGTCCCTTATAAACCACTCCAACTCTCCTTCCACTTCCAAGGTGGGACTAAACTTCCCACACACCTAGTGCCATATAACCCACATGGGCCCTTAGAGATTTTTCAGAAATTGCAATATGGGCCTAGAGCCCATCTCAGATTTCAGCACTTTCTCCCCTGAAATTTCTTATTAAGCATGGCAGCATCTTCTTAACTTCTTAAGCTGATAACTGGCGGTGACTGACTGAGCAGGGAAGAAGGATACGCCATGCGAAGGGCCGAGCCAGACCTATCATGCAGTCTGCGCCAACCCAGCCTGCGACGCGGCCTGCATCACCGAGGACTACAAAGGTGGATACTGCAGCCCAGGAAGGCTCAACACATGCCTCTGTACTAACAAGTGTCACGACCAAACTCTTCCGCCCAACAGGGTCTGACGATGTACGGGAGCCAGCAGGCTTTAATTAGCAGAAAACTGGCAATGTGTTGCAAACAATAACAATGGAATGAATTCGCAGTTTTTCCTCTCTCTTTTTTGAATGTTTGGTCATATATCTCCGGCCACT